TGTCTCCCTGTCATTCCAGTTCCTGAACACTCTTGGCACACCCTGGGGCTGTCATTCCACTGCTGGCCCTGTCATTCCAGTCCCAGAACACTCCTGGCACACCCTGAGGCTGTCATTCCAGTCCGTGGCCCTGTCATCCCAATCCCAGAACACTCTTGGCACACCCTAGGGCTGTCATTCCACTCCGTGTCCCTGTCATTCCAGTTCCTGAACACTCCTGGCACACCTGGGGCTGTCATTCCAGTCCGTGGCCCTGTCATTCCAGTTCCTGAACACTCCTGGCACACCCTGGGGCTGTCATTCCACTCTTGGCCCTGTCATTCCAGTTCCTGAACACTCCTGGCACACCCTGGGGCTGTCATTCCACTCCGTGGCCTGTCATCCCAGTCCCAGAACATTCCTGGCACACCCTGGGGCTGTCCCGTCATCCCAGTGCCTGAACACTCCTGCTCCTCCCTGGGGCCATCATTCCACTCCGTGGCCTGTCATCCCAGTTCCTGAACACTTCTGTTACGCCCAGGGGCTGTCATTCTACTCCGTGGTCTCTTATTCCATCCTCAGAGTAGTCTATTTGGGCCTAAAGACCCTAATGTAAAATCCATTCCACATTTTTATTGCAACTCTACTTGTACCCTAATGTTTTCCAATGGAGCCCATGCAAGTCAATTGGCATTCCTATCCTGGCTCCCATTATTTCCAATGGGTCTTCCAGCGTCTCCCATTGTTTCCAATGGGCAATCCTGTCCTTCCTTTTAGTACATCCCTTGCTCACTTTCCTGAAACATGGGGAAAAGTGCTTAGAACAGCCACATATGGCTCCCAAGCCACTAAGCATCACGAAGCTAAGGAAATCTTTACTAGGGATGGGCACAAAACACATTTTTGCAGTTCCCTTCATGGCCGAATCGTGAAGTGATATAAACCAGGAAGTTGGTTCATGAACCAAACTGGTTTCTAGCAGTTCCTGATCCCTGCTTTCTGCTCCCCACCACTTTTCACAGGAAGTCAAAAGCAGGGGTTTCCCTGCAAAACACAGTGGGGAACAGAAAGCTGCTTTCTGCTCTTCACAGACTGCCTTAAAAGTCATGGTGGCTCTTCAGTTACACAAACCACAAACTGGCTAAAATTCATCACAAACTTAAATTTGTGAGCTGGTTTGTGCCCATCCCTAATCTGTGCAATGCCATGTTCTCTCAGGGTTTCCCTCAGTTCTCCATGGTAATAAGTGTTAGGCTGGTATAGCAAAAATAAACAAAAGTATGCTGGCACTTTGAAGATTAAGCATAGCTCTAAGACACATATGGGGGGGGGGGAGCTTGTTAGTTTTAAAATAGTATGATGCTCCTGACCTTTAGCTGTTAGAATTAAGCAGGAACATGGAACTAACCATATCCAATTTGAAACCTAACTGATTTTTTTTTAAGGAATAAGGGCTTATAAAAAGTTCCACTTTCCTGATCACAGGCATGGATCACTTAGATCCAATTCATAAACATAATCAGCCATTTGAAGTAAAGTTAGATGAATGCTGCTCTGAATGAAAACTGTTTTTAGGAAAACTGCTCACCATGGCGTTCTGAAGTGTTACTACACCTCTGCAAACTTAAAGTGCCAACATACAGAAAAGTGGAGTGTTATGCAGTTTTGGACATTTGCATGAATAGCTTGCAACGTGGACTATGGCTGGAATTTTAATAAAGAAGGATTGGGTTGATACCCTGCCCTTCACTACCCAAAGGAGCCTCAGAGCGGCTTACAAACCCCTTTCCCTTCCCACAACAGACACCCTGTAAGGTAGGTGGGGCTGAGAGAGCTCTGACAGAAATTGCTCTTTTTCAAGAACAGCTGTGCCAGAATTATGGCTTGCCCAAGGTCATCCAGCAGGCACAAGTGGAGGAGTGGGGAATCAAATCCGGTTCTCCCAGATTAGAGTCCGCGCACTTAATCACTACACCAAACTGGCTCTCTTTACCCTGATGAAACTTTAATGTACTAAGCGAACCTAAAGACAGAGTTTACATTAAATCCAAAAACCGCAATTCCCAGAGCAGTTTAAACTACCTATAAAGAAGATGAAGAGTAAAAGTGTAGTCCTTATAAGCTGCGGAAGAGACGAGGAAAGGAGAAGTGAAGGCTGAAGGACTCTGAATTGTGCCTTTGAGAACTTTGAAAGGGGATGATTGGGGGGTACTGTTTCTAGACAGTTAAATTTAAGAGTTAAAGAAAAAGAAAGTAATGCAAATGTTTGACTCAGTTTATAATAATCTAAGTGAAGTGAAGATTTGCTGTAACTAAGTTAGTGAAGATCTCCTCTCTTGGGTTTTTAGTTAGTAGTGGGTTCTTTTGCTTTATCCTATATATGTAATCCCCCCTTCCCTTTTTTCTGTAGTAGTTTTGTAGTTTAATAAAAAATAATAAAAAATCCCCTTCGGGGGCTCAAAAAAAAAAGAGTAAAAGTGAACTACTACATTTAATAAGTTTTGAGCTTTAATTGCTTCTGTATTGTTACACATTACAAAGGACATGACTGTTAGGCATAACTGTCAAAACCTGCCTTGCTTTGCTTTTCTTGCCATCCCAGGAAGCAAAAATTCTCCCAGGAATGGAAATTCTGATTGATATCTTATAAAACACACACACACACACAAAAACAACAACAACAGTTTTCAGGCCATTTATCTGCTGACCTTCACAGATTTTAATTGTACAAGTTTCCACACAACTGTTTATGGCATTATCACAGCAATCCTAGCCGGGGTTACTCCAATTTAAGACCATTGATTTCAACGGCGTAACTCTCACAGGACAGCACTGTAGGTCACTTTTGCCAGGCACCCATAATAAGCAAAGTATAAATACATTTGGACTATAGGAAAAGTTGCTGAACATTTGTTGAATGGTTTTTGTTGTATTTATTGTTGGCTTTTAATTTTAAAACACTCCAGGCCTGTGAGAAAGGCATATTGTAAACACATTATGTAAATGAATAATATTTGCACAATCCATTACATCACACACTTATACTTTTCGCAGTTTACAGCATTTAAATATGGACATTTTGCGGTTGTTATTTACATTATACGAGAAGATAACCATGGCATAAAACATGACTCCTGTGCCAATACCCATTCCTTTCCTTGGAAATCATTGTTCAGTAGAATGGTACCTTTTGTTATAGCTGCTGGAGCTGTGGGAATTTCAGAACAACTGAAATACAATTACATCTAGAGCAGCTGAAATACAATTATATCTTGGAGAAAAGAAAATGAATGCAATCCAGTGCTGACGGATTACTGTAATTGCATTATTTTAATTGCATTGAGGGACAGACTGTGGCCTATGCACACCATTAGGTTCAGGGAACCCTTTTAAAATAGTTTGTGTTTTATTGTTTTGTTGTTCAAAAAGGACAGCAGAAACAGTGACATAATTAACATTTAGCAATGCAGAAATAAATGATATAAAATAGTTGCGCCATTACTGTATTTTATATACATGAAAAACATTTTACCATTTTAGCAGAAACACATATCTGTCCGTTTATGTACAAGTATGTAAATTCTAATGTACAAATTGCAGTCCTGTAATCACCCAGATTAAAAGATACTTCAAGTGAGTGGTCACGATTGAATGACCACAGTGTTAGGAATAAGTTGCAGTCTGTGTTTTGCTAACTTTGTTCCATTCCAGCCATGAGCGATAAGGCTAAAGACTCCACTGTGAAGAAAACACAAAGTAAAATTTTTAAGTTTGGCATTTTTATTTTTCATTGTTTATAGAAGACATGGAGGAGCAATAGCTTGTGAACCAAAATACTGCACAAATGGACAAGCAGTTTTGTGACTTTTCAATTAGTGTCAAATTAGAAATATTTCTAATAGTATGCTTAATATGATTATGGATATGATTATATACTGTTAAAAAAACTATAAGATTTGTGGGTTAATTTTACGCTTAGGTTATATTGAACTGGAAACATGAAGAAAGCTGCATAATATATTATGAAATAAATTACTGATAACAGCAAAGAATACCATTTGAGTTTTCCTTTATTAATACTCACAGTGTGGGAAAGAGCCTCTACAGACTGCTTTGTTTAGCACCGTCACAAGGAACATATGGCAGTTTTTAAAATCTGATTCCATCTTCGTTATGGATTCCATCCTAAAACACAGTGTAGGATAATTTGAAAATGACAAAAAGCAAATTGTACTAAGAAAATTATTACAATGTAATATAATTAACACACAGTTCACAAAGGGGCCCTTTCCATTCCTACTGGAGCCCTGTGAAGAAGAGTTGGTTTTTATACCCCACTTTTCTCTACCCTAAGGAGTCTCAAAGCAGCTTACTCTTCCTCTCCCCACAACAGTCACCTTGTGGGTAGGTAGGGCTGAGAGAATTCTGAGAGAGTTCTTCCAAAGATCCAGGGGATTCTTGGGAATTATGTGAAATATTCATTCTTGTTCAGGTGATTAGTCTAGCCTTTCCACTGGATCCAAGACCTAATACTTCATATACAGGATAAATGCCAGCAAAAAGACAGATCCTGTAAAATTACTGCGACATGAATGTGCATGTGCTTACTTCCAAGCTCCCAAGCCAGCTTGCCAACGATCTGCAAACATCAATACCAAGTTCAGTACTTTCATGATAGCTTCTTTCACAAAGCTAACCTGAATGTAAGAAACAAAAAAAAATGTAGCAGCTGTGGTCAGTTGAGATTCAAAAGAATACAATTCCCCTGATACAGAATACATATTCCAGCTACCGTAGCTGGCTGCAATGCTTTACAGATGCAGAAACAACTATTTATCCTAAATATTCTGCTATTTCCAATTCAAGGGTGTTAAACCTAAGGCCCAGGAGCTGTTACCAAATTAGGGTAGCTACACTAACACATTCCACACATTCTGGGACAGGGAGCCAGTGCAACTGATGGGGCGCGTTCACCAACGGCTCTCACTGCATGGCATACGGTATAACTTGTAAGTACCAAAAGCATACTTAAGTCAATAACTAGTTAATGTAGAATTAATATTTACATCAACTCTCCATGAATGGTGGCCTTCAGCATTTGCTGGATAGAAAATTTAGCACTGCAGGCGTTTTAAATTTCAGCATATATATAGGGCATGAAGTCTTAAAATCTGTACATGGAAATATGGCATATTTCACTAAGCTTCTAGTTAACACTAGTGTTAAAGTAAGTCAACTAGAGGTTCTGAAAGAGCTGCAATAAATGATGGAGAAGGGATGGAGATAACATTTTGATAAATTCCTTGAAGCAATACAGCTAGCTAGTGTCATTTAATAATTCATGCTGTATTTTAAAACAGAATTAATTTTCCCAGATATTTTAGTTATGACTTACAGCACGTTATGTCACACAAGCAGTGTTCTGCATAGGGATTACAAGACACTGATCCTGCGCTTAATGTAGTCTATGGCCATTTTAGCCTGAAATGGCTATTTTGGGATCTCATGATAATTACACGGAATGCTCTGTTTAATTTAGAGATAGAAAATCCCTAAATATGAAACAAATAAAATAATCAAAGCAACATATTCAGTTCTTCCAAATTTGTACTATTTAAGAAATATTTTCAAACCAGACTTTTAAAAACAATTTTAGGTATTATACAAAGAACGTGATCAAAACATTATAGAAAAAAGGATCCTCAGTCCCTCTGGATTAGCAAATCAAAATGCTATTTTAACCAATTTATAACAGAGCAAAATAAGACTCAGAGCAAGTCACTTTGTTCTGTAGCATTTATGCATCAAGTAAAAATCACAAGTTGTATTGAATGTTCCATATCAACTTTACTTTATGTACCTTTTCTCTCAGCAAGCAACGATCATGAATTGTAGACAGGTATCTATAATGAATTTTAATCAGCTGATCTAGATCTTTTGCTTCTTCTACCTGATGCTGAAACTCCAAACCTGTACTGTGAAGAATCTTTAAAAAGAAAATGTACAAGAATGGTCAAATCTAGTACTTAAATGCCTCTTACTGTTTGAAAAATTACAGAGATTTTACAATTCTGGTTTTTTCTCCAAACCATGACTAATCTGATAGCCAGCATCTGCTATCATAATCCACCAATCAACAGGTCTGTTGAAACATATATATTTGTTCTAGAACTTAATCAGCTACTTTTTCAAATGACAATACTATTATCAAGGATCACATCTCCTAAATGTAGAAGATGGCTACAAAACTGTAATTTAAGAGGATATAGCCAAGGATTAAAAACTGGACTTCCACATCTAATGTCTTAGCATGTACCTTCAAGGCAAGTCTACTAGGCCTTGATTCACCATTTCTACTACGAAAAATAGCAGCTGAGATAAAAAAAACAACTGAATGCATACAGAATACAAATGGTAGTTATTTGCCACTTCTGAACTCAAGCAGCAAATCAGGAGAAGCAAATAAAGAGAAGGCAGCCAGGCTCCACTCATGCTTGGATCCAGCTCCCCTGTACCTTCTCTCTTCAAGAAACATTGACTTTGCAAAATTCAAAATGTGAACAGCTGACACCAAATAAAGAGGATGCACTTTTCCTGTGTGAACTGAAGGTCAAATTTATCTGCATGTATGCCAGGAGCCATTTGGGATGTTTAACAAATACACAATAGACATTAAATTCTTAACCTTATTTAAGTTATTATAGCAATACATACCCTAGTCATTATATAGTTGTGCAGGCTGTTAACAAAATGCATGAGTTTCATCCTTAGAAGGAACATGCGATGAGTTTGTTGTTTAATGGGCTCTGCTTGGGATCCAAACTGTGGAAGTGGGTCTTGTTCAAATAAAGTCACTCCTCCTTTACACTGGGGCTTTTCTGCTGCACTGACTAGCTCTTTAAAGAGATTCAGGCATTGGAAACACAATATTAGGAAAAATATCAAGACCACTTCTACTGACTCATTAGCACCACCTGTCAATATTAACTACCACCACTTTTTCCTTCTACATTCAGCCATTTAAAGGAACACATGGACTCCACTCAGTGTCAGAAGGACATTGGATCAACGACTGGTTTTTATTGTTTAAGCTGAACGCTACCATTCTCCTTTCCACAGGCGCAACCTAATTCCAGATACACCCAGCAACATTTGATTCAAAACTGCCTTGCATTCTATATAACACGCACACAAGAGGCCTGAATTCTAGACACCCCAAAAGCTGTCTGACCTGTTTTGTTCTGGTTAGTCCTAATCAAATGCAACACCAGCTGGCGACCCCGGGCCCTAGGGAGGCCAAGCTTACAACAACAAGGGGCAGGTCTTTTTCTGTGGCGGCTCCTACCTGGTGGAATGAGCTCCCGGAGGAGATCAGGGCCCTGCGGGACCTTATGCAGTTGCGCAGGGCCTGCAAGACGGAGCTCTTCCGCCAGGCTTATGAGTAGGAGCCGCCACAGCCACTACCACCACCGTTTTTTCAACGAAAGAGATCACTGGGTTGGAGGGGTAGCATCTTTTACCACCCCGGTCTCTCCCACTGTGCGTATGATGGTATTTGTGAGTTTATTTATGCATCTGTAAGTATTGATTTTAAATTGTTTTAATCTTGTATTTATATTTGTAATTGTACTTGTATATGCACATAGTGCCTTATGTGAGCCGCCCTGAGCCCGTTCGCGGGGAGGGCGGGGTACAAATGTAATTAAATAAATAAATAAATAAATAAATATTACATTGGCCTTGTTTTTAGATCATACTACTAGAGTTATTTTTAACTGAAAAGTTAACAGTTTTCCTCCATCAGCTTAATTAAACAGCAACTGCTGATCTCAAGGATCTATTCAAACAGCAGAGGGCAGGGCTGTCCTGAGGTATAAAAATCACTAGAAACTCTAAATCATACTGTAACGATTTCATGTTTATTTGTGTGTGTGTGTCTTTAAAAGTTTGGTTTACATTGCTGTGTGAAAGTCTAGTGTGGTTGAAACAGGCAAGTGGTGTGATTGGTGAGTGACAGAGAGGGGGAGGGGTTTTGGAATGGATGCTGTGTGGATGATTTGAATGTCTATCAGGAGTGACTGTTAGAGTTTAGACAGTTAGGTCAGTTGATGAGAAAAAAAACAGTTAATCAGTCAGCAGAGAGTGCTGTGGAAAAGCAGTGAGTTTTGTTCTGTGGTCTCTGTGAGAGAAGTTTTCCTGTGTGGAAAAAGAGTAAAAGTCTCTGTGTTAAGCAGACGGTTAAGTTCTGTGTAAGAGAGGAGAGACCCATCCCTGTGTAGGACGAGTTAGTTCATTATATGAAATAGTGTCACAAAGTTATATGCATAAATCCCTGAGAGATAACTGAAAGTGCTGTGCCATGATAGTGTGAGAGAGAAAGGAGTATATATTTGTAAAGTGAATCTACAGTTCTTAAAGAGAGTCAAAGTTACAAAGAGTGTGATACAGTTGACAAGTACTTACAAATACCTATTTCCAAACCAGTTACAGTTTAAACAACTTCTTACTCTGTTCTTCAAATAAATCCTTTTTAGTTAAGTTTATCCCAGAAGCCTGATCCATTATTCCTCAGGAAACACATAGTTCCTTGAACGCCTAAACTCTCGATCCACCTACCCTGTGATAGGAATATTATAGTAAAAGGTTTGGAAAGCCTAATAAAATTTCCTGGTGGCAGCCGGATACCCAAAGTAAAATAAAACATAAGAACACGTTTAAAGGAAAACCAGACCTCCCTAGAGAAGAGGTCGTCACACATACAAATAAACATTTAAAACCTATAAGATAAATTTGCAGCTTGGGTATGACAATACCATACTGTAGAACAGAGAGAACTGAGCATCCAGAATATTTCAGCTCCTCTAAACTTGTATAGCTACAAACATTAGATTGAAGGGGCATGGTGTTGATGCTCAGCATAGTTCGCCTATCACTATACATTTACTTCATTTATACCCCAGCTTTCTCCCCAATGGGGACACAAAGCAGGTTACATCATTCTCTTCTCTTTTGTGTTATTCTCACAACAACCCTATGAGGTAGGATAAGCTGAGAGTGTGTGATGGCCCAAGTTCACCCACCCAGCTTCCATGGCAGAGCGAAGATTCAAACCTGGGTCTCCCAGATCCTAGTCTGGCACTCTAACCATCACCCCATTGATAAACTGTACACATCACACAAATAAGCAAATCTGCATAACCCAAATCACTAACTCAGGTGGCAAAATTCAGTTTCTTAGCAAGATTTTGAATTATATTTGGCAAACTACCACAGCTACTCTTATAGCAGCCAAATAACCATACCTACTTAGGATCTAATCAGGGTCTAATCAGCAGCAGCCCATCCGTTTGTTCTGTCGTTCCCATCAACTTTCCCTGTCATATAGCTTGCCCTGTGCCACAAACACCTACTTCTCTCTGTATCTCCTCCATTCACATCCTCTGCTTCTATTCCTGTTTCCACTTTCCTCCCTCTTAGGAGGCTGCACGGGTAGGTTAAAAAGGCATTAGGGGCCGGTAGCACCTTAAAGTAGTGCGGCTACAACTCCCCCGTTTTTAGGAAACATTTTTAATCACACAATTAAGAGTCTGTGGATTTCCTTACCATGAAATCTTAACACATCCAAACTATATTTGGCCCACTTGATTTGCAGCAACAAGAGAAACACTTGGTTATAAATTTTTTGACACTCTACACTTATAACGATATCCACAGGCCAGGGGACCTAAAGAAGAAACAAAATGACCTTGATGAAATCATTTCAATTTTTCCCTGAATTTGTTGCATATTATTTTATATTCAGTGTTGTTGTTGTGATTTAATCTTTTATTTCAGTTGGGTTTTTTACAATTGCCTGTTACCTTATAACTCAGTATTAAACCATCTAAGGTATGAACAGGAAGTTTCTTCTTGGCAACATCAATATTTTCACACGATATAGACAGCCTAAGAAGAGAAACACATGTTAGTTGCCAAAGCGATGATCTAAAGCAAGATAGTTAACATTTTGCATCAAACAGAAAATATATCAAACAAAAAATATACCTAGTAGCAATTAATTCTGTTCCAAACTTTATAAAGGTAAAGGTTCCCTTGCTCGAAAGCCGGTCGAATCCGACTCTAGGGTTGCGGTGCTCATCTCTGTTTCAAAGCCGAAGAGCCAGCGCTGTCCGAAGACGTTTCCGTGGTCATGTGGCCGGCATGACTAAACACCACGGCGCACGGAACGCTGTTACCTTCCCACCAAAGTGGTACCTATTTATCTACTTGCAATTTCTTGCTTTCGAACTGCTAGGTTGGCAGGAGCTGGAACTAGAGATGGGAGCTCACTCCATCATGCGGCACCCGGGTCTTGAACTGCTGAACTACTGACCTTCCACAGCCTGCAGTTCAGCGTCTTAACCACTTGAGCCACCGCAGCTCAACTTTATACTAGGAGATTAAAGGAAAAGCTATGTTCTGAACAAAGGATACATACCTAACTACTCTTACCACACAGCAGTCACGTGTTACATAGTTTTTCAGTTAGGAGAAAAACAACTGGGATTTACTCTGAGAACTTTGACGGTTGAATCACTTTCTCCTAAAAATAAAATCACTTATCCCTTATAAAGGTCATGTTATGTTATATAGCTACTCATTATTAAGCACACTACATAGATTTAGTGCTTGACTGCTTTATATTATTTTGCTTAGAGTAGCAATCTGTAGTCTCAGTTACACACAGCTCCATGCGTGCGTTTTAGACCAAGCCTCTCATATTTACATTTAGCATGCTCAATCCTACCAACTTTTCCACTAGCATAGGAAAAAAGGAAAAGTCCCTTTTGATACCTCAGAAGACTACACCAGGGGATCACAGGACCTATATGGACAAAAAGCTGCATCGGACAAATCTGAAGGGAGGGAGGACTGAGCAAGATCACTCCTTTCTATTGGGCCTACAAAAAACCCTGACAGGGTCCAGTTCAGCATGTTCTAATGTTTGCAAACATTATATTGTCAATGCATCAATCTGCCACTGCTTCAGATTCTGCTTCTTTTGCAGCAGAGGGTTCTTCCTGAAACAGCAAAGGTAGAAGAAGAAGAAGAGATTGGATTTATACCCCGCCCTTCACTTGGAGTCTCAGAGCGGCTTACAAACTCCTTTCCCTTCCCCTCCCCACAACAGACACCCTGTGAGGTGGGTGGGGCTGAGAGAGCTCTGACACAAACTGCCCTTTTTCAAGGACAGCTGTGCCAGAGCTTGTGACTGACCCAAGGTCACATCAGCAGGTGCAAGTGGAGGAGTGGGGAATCAAACCCGGTTCTCCCAGATTAGAGTCTGCTGCTGGTAGACTCCTTCCCCAAACCCTTCCATTCACAAAAAGATACACCTCCTCAACTCAAGCGAAGACAGCACAGCTATCTAGCACTTGGGTCAGATGTATTCAAGCCAGTTCTAGATGTTTTGCTTCCTCTTTCCTCCCTCTCATTTATCCAAGCAAAGAGATGAAACCAAAACCAAACTTGTTGGAGAAGGCAAGTTGATTTCAGCAGAAAATGCAAAGGATGGAAAAAAGGGGTTCCATGTTCCATGCTTAGCAGGATTTTTTAATGAATATTTGTGTGTACTTTTCTCCAAGTAACCTCCCAGCACAGAAACCATGTGTCCTTTATCATCCCCTTGTTACACAGTAAAGAGGCTTTTCCTTTTTCCCACTACAATTTATACTGTGATTATACTTATACTCTTATTACCTTAAGCTGTCTTCTGGGTAACGTTGTCCAACAGCTTCTTGGAGCTGAACATTAAGGAATGTCTCATTCTGCCATGTATCCTTCTCTCTTATTTTATCAAAAATAGTTGTATAGAAGTCATACATGGTATCACCAGCCTCAAGTAAGAAAAAGTTTCTCATTGCTTGCAAATATTCTACCAGCCTGAGCAAGAAACACAATCATTTCTTCAGAATTCAGTTCATAATTATTTGTAATTCAGTGTTCCAATTAATACTTTAATATTTATAAAACAAATCTGTCAAATGTATGCAGATTATGAAAATGAGCTCCTTTAATGAAAGTTCATTCATACAGTACTAGTAAGATGCATGATTCAGGAGCCTTTGCTTCAGATTAAGGTAGCTGCATCTCTTATAAAAAAATTGTCACTATATATTATCGCCTCTACACCATTCTTCATTCCCATCCACTTTTCCCGAAGGCCACACCTCTTCCTTTCCTTGGATCCTGTGATATTTTCTACTAACCCCTTCCTTCCTCCCTATCTTCTTTTCCCCTCAGACTCCTATCCCTTCTACCTACTAGTTGCAACAAGTCCCGTTTGCATTCCCGTGCATACCCAACTTTCATCTTTAGCCAATAAGAATTTTAGCTAAAGGCCCAGGACAGCAACACAGAAAAATTCAGAAACATACTATTTTTCCAGAGACCCTTTTTCAGTTTTTCCAACTGACAAATTGGGACATTTGGGGGAACACTTAGAAGAACTACTATGATTCTTTTTTCCTTTTGGAATGAGTAACATTTTAAGGCAACATCTGACTCACTCAAAGGTATAGCATGATAAATGTTATGTAAGACGATCTGCAGCATTAGATACACTGAAGAGGCGGGGGGGGGGAATCTATGGACACTACCAGTACATAACCCACAATGAGGCAAGTCTTCTACTGTTCAGGTAAGATGCCTACTCACACTTCTTTAATTTACAAACAAATGCATATTTGCATTTTCTATATTTTCCTTCTAATTTTGCAAAAGTTTGTTCCCATTGTTTTTCTACTATGACAAATGGAGGCCTGTCATCTAGCTCCCATGTCCCTTCCCACAATCATCTACTGTTTCCCCAAGAGCTGCCTTAACATCATCAGGCTGCTTCTTGCCTCATCCAAAAGTAGCTGATCTCCCAGGAAGAATGGATCCTGTGCTGAGTGAGGCAGCGTCAGTCACCAGCTACTGGAAATCTCAACCCAGACTAAGCATTCGGCAAAAAAGGATCACATGCTACAAGTGACACTATATTTAAACTCTCACCTGTAATCTTTCTTCAAGGTCTGCATTAAATGTCCACAGCATTCCAGATATTGTTTGTCTATGTGAGGATAAAGGCAGGACCTCAATGTCAGTTCAAATGTTTGGCATGTAACTGATTCAGAGGATCTATCCACACAAACATCGTCGCCAGTAAACTTCTTGTGAAAGTCACTTTGTTCCAAATACAATCTGCACAATAACCAAACAAAAAATAATTTGGAATCTTTGAACATGACAGAGGCAGTTAACCAACCATGCAAAACTATGAATTAAACTTTTTAACGGTAAATTACAATATACTCCAGAGGGCTTCTGTCAAAGCCAGTTATCTCAGTAGTTAAATCTTTCCCAAAGTTCTAAAGCTGTCTAAATACTGTGGTACTTAGGGAATGGGCCAAATGAGTTGGAGAAGGTACATGGATAAAAAGCTGCTGTCATGAAGTTGAGAGCTAGATTTCTACCAAATTTCTAAGTCTCTATATACCTATTGAACATAAGAACATAAGAGATGCCAATGTTGGATCAGGCAAAAGGCCCATCCAGTCCAACACTCTGTATCACACAGTGGCCAGAAATACCAGTGCCTTCAGGAGGTCCACCAGTGGGGCCAGGACATTAGAAGCCCTCCAACTGTTGACCCCCCCCCCCAAGCACCAAGAAGACAGAGCATCCCTTGCCCCAGAGTCCCTATCTATACCTTGTGGCTAATAGCCACTGATGGACCTCTGCTCCATATGCTTATCTAATTCCCTTTTGAAGCTCTGGCTCTGTATATCTGTACAACTAGGTAGGTCCTGCAACCTGCACTGACACCTGGAAGTTTCAATGGAGACTGCAGCCAACATAGTGCCCTACTAACCACTTGGATGACTACAGAAATCTAGACATGGCTATAATGCTATCCCACAGTATTTTCTGGAACTTCCCAGAACCACCACAATCACCCCAATCAAAAACTAGAATCATAACACCAATTCCAGTTTGGGTGGAATGACAACACTAATATGACCTCTGTGCTTGAAAAGCTGTGATCTAAGGGCTTATTTCAGACAATACCTATAATCAAAGCCAGACTTCATGGTAGTGCACCCAACAAAGCTTGGCAGCTGATCTGTTTTCTTGCTATAAACCATGGCTAACCTTTTTCCAAACGTCGCTTGAAAACTGGGAAAACAAAAACCACCTAGCAACTTGTTCCACAACCTCCTCAGATTGGCCTTTACCCTCAAAATCCCGGAGGAATACTACAAGTTCTTACTCCTTGGGCCCATTATTTTATTTATTTACATTACTGATAGTCCACCTTTCTCAAGGGGCTCCAGACGGATTACACATAGTGAGCCAGCACAATCACAATAAATGGGACATTCAGATAACCAATGCCATTAGGATTTGAGAAGTCTGGAACCACCGGAAAGAACTGAAGCATAGCATAAGTATTCGCATGGCACATTAAGCGGTCCAGAAATTACCTAAATAGTATCCTACTTACAATAAGCTAAACCCAGCAGTACAGATCACAGCCCCTAACCATTTATCCAAGCAAGTTTGAAAACTATTTCATGTAGTGTATTTCGGACACTACTCATCTGACAAGGAATAAGGCCTTAGGATAATGCTCTTGTAAAATAACAGCATGTAAACTAAAAAGAATTAGTGAATAAATTGGAGACGAAGCAGCCATTTAGTGAAGAAACAAGAACTGAGCAACATATCGGCAGGCTTTGTTGCCTTCCAGTGTGTCCAACTGTATACTTTCTATGTGTGACTGTTGCCCAGGGCCTCAGACTAGGGAACTGGCCAGTGGCTGGTGGTCAGGTTCCCTGGGGATCCCGCTTGGCTTCACGAGGTACAAAGTGCCCAAATCAATGCTGCCACCAGGTGCCTCTGTGCAGCCTTTCAGTCCCATTCCCTTACACCTCCCTGCCTTCCAGCTAGGCTGCTTCTTGACTCTCTGGGGCTACCCTGGATAGACTGGCACCCCTGGTCGCTGCTGCCCTGGCAGGCACACCTCTTTAGGGGTGCTAGAGCTGAGCATTTCTCCTGTGGCTGCCTGTCTGCAGTCCTTAATCCCTTCTCCCCCCCCCTTCCAAGCTCTTTGACTCCCACCTCTAGCGAGGAGGTTCAGCTATCTTTTCGGGCTACGTGGAGTCTCAACCACCCACACATGTCCTGATGACAGTCCCCGGCTGCCTCAGCCAGGCCACTTGCTCTCCCAGCTGGGTGCCCCCACACTCTGTAAGAACACAAGAGAAGGCATGTTGGATCAGGCCAATGGCCCATCCAGTCCAACACTCTGTGTCCCACAGTGGCCAAAACCCAGGTGCCATCAGGAGGTCCACCAGCAAGATCCTATGTCCATGGTTCTGATGCGTGATCCTCCCCCTCACCCCCCCCCCTTTCCTGGCTCCTGGCCACCTTTTGACTGTGCAGCCCATCAGAACAATCCTCGCAGTCCTGCTGGAATCCCCACTTTCCTTCTGGTCAGACTGTTCAGAGCGCCCTGACATTGCCCAGGCCCTGCAGACCCATCTGAGTGGCCACACTATAGTACTGTGTCACCAATATCTTAATCTAAATTATTTTTGCCGCCTGAGAAACAGGAACTCCTCAGTTATCTCTCTGGTTGAAACACCAAAGCCTGGTCTTTGATAAAGTAGTAAAAATAAACTATTTTGCAACACATCAATTACCTTGCAAAATTGATGGCCAGCAAGGGATCGTGAACATCATCCAACTCCAAGTGTCTTTCTGCAATGGACTGCATCTTTATTAGACTCCGTTTGGTTGCCTGCTGCTCTGTAATAACTTCCTGAACAGGTTCCTCCCCGTGCCGCAGCCGCGACTGGACAGATTCCAGAAACAACGTATACAAGCTCTTCCTTTCTGCATCTGAATTGGTTAGTGAGATATTATTTACCTTATTATTGGTTTAAGCCAGAACAAAAACTGAAATTTAAGCCCCTCATACCGTTAATGCAACAGAATATAGTTAAACTATGAGTTTGTGATTCTCAAACATTTTTATATACCTACCAAATACTTGAATCTTGAACATGCAAATTTACCCTACTACAGAGATGTCTTATCCAAAAGACTAAACAACATTGTGATCTGACACATTTCTCTGCTAATGGTCAGAATATCATTTTAAAGACTTTATTCACTGGAATGCCAATTTGGTGTTCAAAAGTGAAGAGCCAGTGAAGATATAACCCTTCGAACAACTTAAAAAACACTGTGACATAGAGAGCAGGACACAAAATGCTTCAGCCCCTGTAGCTCTTACATCTCTTCAGCATGAATTCCTCTGGTTAATCCAGACCTCTTAAACTATGACTAAGAGCATTAGGTCTACACAGATTCCAAGTGTAGCAGAGGACCAATTCACTGAACAAACTTTTGATTTCATACTGTTACTTTCTTGCAGTCATCACAGACTTACAATATTAAGTACTATTGTGTGCTTAGTTCTTGGCTGGCTGATAATCACAGAGAAATTTAGACTTCCCAGTGCACACTGGGACCACTTTACAAGATGAACTTCCATGTGAAAATCATGCAAAGACAGTAAGCACATAAACACATCACCCACCCATGGGGGTCCAACTTCCTTGGGTGACTCAGCTTTTAAGGCAAAAGAAAAAAAGTATACTAGCCATTTCATGAACAGAAACCTGTTTTTTGAACTGTAAATCCTTAACACAATAAAACATATCTGAATTTAAATGATCATTGAAAACTTAAGCTTTACAAGCGGCTCACAGTCAAGAAAGCAAAAATTAAAGCTGACTGTGAGACATACAGGCAATGTTCCCTCTAAGCTGAGTTAGTGTGAGCTAGCTCGCAGTCTTTTAGCCTCCAGCTCACACATTTTTGTCTCAGCTCAGGAAGGAGGGCTCCAGAGCAAACTAATTTATGCAGCAGCCAAATCGCTCGCTCACAACTTTAATGCCAGTAGCTCACAAAGTAGAATTTTTGCTCACAAGACTCCACAGCTTAGAGGGAGCATTGCATACAGGTAATTGCATTTGAATGTACATATCTATTTAGGAATCTGCAACAAAACCCTACCGTTTTCAATCACATGTCAAAATGCACATCTATACAGTACGAGGTTAGCAATGAAAACTGCATGCCACCAAAGTTGCTAAGGGTCTCACTGACCCAGCCTAACTCCTTTTTACCTCTTGATGCCGCCTGTTGTGAAGATCCATCTGCACATTGCAAGTTCTTTAACAACTGCATGGACTTTCCAGCCATGATGATCTGCTTTAGCACTGGTTTTAGAAAGGAGACCATGGTGTGCTGCCTGCATGAAGGCGCTTGATCACTGCCAGAACTGGCACTAGCATTATCGCTCATTTTCTCTTCATTCTCAGTCTTTTCAGACACGCTATACAGGGTGTAAGTGGCATACCAGAAGTCCCTATGGTTAACTGGAACATTTTTGTTTCTGCAAAGACAAGTGTGAAGTAATTAGCTTTGCCTTCAAAAAAACAAAAAAACTGCTTCCCTATTAACAAGTAGTGTGTCAGGTGAAAATTACCAAAGATTATTTTAACTGGGATGTCAACTGGGGGAGAAAACCTTTCTAGTTTTGTTTTTAATTTACAGTACACTCAGAAGTTAACAGTATACTCAGAATCACTATATTAACAGGTTAAAAGAATACTCTACATCTTCACCCTGGCTTTACAGAACATCAACAGTCAAAAGGCACGAGGCTGTCAAATGTCTGCTCACAGCTATGCGCAGCTTCTCAATACAGTTAACTACAGTAAAATAATATTACGCAGCACAAAATGGCCATGATACTGTAAGAACCATGAAGAGGAACACTGAAGTGATAAGCACTACATTCAGAAGCATGTCTAGAAATCTTGTCTAGTTCTACAAATCTAATGACTGTCAAAAACAATTTACTTTCTTCAGTTGATACTCCGGCCCTGGTCACACGGGAGGTTTTGGCCCGGGAGAGGGACGGATCGGGGGCGCAGCAAATGGGCGCAAGCACACCGCAACATCTGGGAATCGGCTCGCACCCGTCCCCGATCCATTCCTTCAGGCCAATAACGCGCTGTAAAAAAAAAACCAGAAGAGGAGGACTTACCAGGTACACCGCAGCAAGCGCGGCCGTGCGATCGCCGGTGCGCCCATCTTCTGGAGCAATCCAGGCTCCTGGCCGAACTGCGCATGCTCACACATACGCAGTTCGGCAGCCTCGGTCTCCCGTAAGTGGCTTCCCCCCAGCAGCTGATCGTGCCGGGGAGGAGCTGCGCGGCGGCTCAGGGGATCTATGTGATCCCGCCGCCGCGTGTTTCTTTTGGTACTTCCCACCCCCCGTGTGGCAGGGCCCTCAGACAATTTTATACAATGCTAATAATGTTCACCTACAGGGTGATCATTTTGCCTGTAAATTGTTTTGATTTCCACTATTCAATTCTAACACACATAAAGAAAATTTTTCATTAACGACTTTTTCCCCAAGAGGTGCTTTACTAGCTATTTTATGAATGGCAATTGTCAAAACAGTTTTATTGTGTAGAACCAGTTGCTAGATCATAGTGTTGACCTTTCCCTTTGCTGAGAACAAAAGTCAGCTGCTTATTTTGACTTTCACAGACAGCAGTCCACAGCTGTTTTCACACAGCGCGTCCACTGCTGGATAGAGGAACAAAGCTCCATGACTGCACAGGATATGTGAGGTCTGCAGCAAGGAAATCCCTTACAGATGCTGGGTTGCTTGAGAAATCACAGCTATCATCATCTAGTCAGGGCTGGCCGTCCTAATGAAAAGCACTGTATTTCATTCAAGTGTTCATTAACCCTACCTCTGAATTATAAATTCCTTAGCCGGATCAAACAAGTTACCATGGACAATCCACTCATCCACCGTCTGTAAATATGGCCTTACTGTTTCAACCCAGAGAGAAAATAAAAGGGATACCTGCAACGAAGGTTTTAAAAATTATTATTAGGGTGTTACAAATGTGCCAGAAAACACAATATTAATTACAAAAGCAGATCTATGCCCCTTGTCCCACAAGGAGGCTTTGGGGTGAAGGTCAAGAGTAAAACACACAAAACTGGGGCGTGAACCCTCACTGCCCAGGGTAACGAACCACCACCAGCCCCTCTAAGTTAACCCTCTGCTGAGAGTCCAAGGGATCAAGTCTCCAGCCCTACTAGGTGTTAATCAAGAAGTCAGCCCTGCAAGGTAGGACTCTCAAGGTAGGAACTCAAGTTGAGTTCCAAAAACAATTATTTCAGTAGCTGTAGCCAAAATAGGCCAAAGTACTGGGTTTAGATTGAACCCCCAAAACCCAAATAACACCACAGGAATATGATTAATGTTTATTAAAAATTGTACAAAAGTATATAAAGAAAGCAGCAGTGCAAAACAAGGAAGAAAACACTGAAACTAAATAGCTAACCCAGAATACTTATTCAGGCTTTAGTCCTCTAACTTATGTTCCTACATATAGCTTTAAACTTGACAGATTCATATCAATGGCTACCAGCCATGGTGACTAAAGGGAACCTCTAACATTCAGAGGCACCAAAACTCTGAATGTCAGTGCCACAAGGCAACATCAGGGGAAGGCCTCAGCCTCTGTGCCTGTTGCTGCGCCAGAGGAACTGGCTGGCCACTGTGTGAGGCAGGATGCTGGACTAGATGGACACTGGCCCGATCCAGCAGGGCTCTTATTCTGTTCTCCCATAGGCATGATGCGTGACCCTGGCCTGCTGCAGAGACGTTCAGCCAAGGAAGTGCAGCTTAGCCTGACCTGAAAGAGCCTGACAGCTGAGAGCAGAGAGGCTCAAGTGTGGTAGCTGATGCTTTCTCCTATCCCCCAGCTGGAGGCAGGGAATGGGTCTGGACCTCCAGATCCCCAGGGCCTCAGAAATGGAGGGAAGGAGGCTTGGGGTTGACTTCTTATGTGTCCTCCCTCCTCCTGTTGGGTTGATCCCCAAGTCCCCCCTTGAAGCACTGGGCCTTAGCCCCAGAATGGGAAGGCTCAAATATGCCCTCCCAGCATTTACAGGGCCTATATCCTTGGCTATGGATATGGGCCGATCCGCCCATCAGGGCTATTCCCCTTCTCCTTGCCCCAGCAGTTCATCCAGGTGAGCTGGCTGCATAGCCACGGCCTCACCTTTCATCCTCCTCTGGCCTCTGTCCTGCCCTGAGGGTGTGATCCAGCACAGCAGAAAGGCCAGAACAAACACACGCTGTGATGTCAGGGCCACCTGCTTTGGCCTCCTGGGAGGGCCCCCCAACAAGGCTCCAATTGGGAGCCAAATGGAGGGAGTGGTGGCGGCACTGGAGCTGGGGAGAGTCACCCCACCCGATCCTGGACACTTCCCCAGTATGTAGGAATACATGGCTGAGGTCCAGAAAATCCCATACATATTTGCAAACAAGCATTTAATATGTGGGCAAGGCAGAGAGGGTTTAAAAGAAAGGAACAGTGGAAGAATTTCTTTTTTTGGAGGGTGCGGGAGGCTGCGCCATCAGAAAGGCAGGAGGAGGACTGGAAAAACCCCAGCTCACACATAAAAGGCAATGTAGTGTTTTGGACCCCTGCCGGTGTTTATAAATAAAGATCTGTAAAACAACATCTTGCACAAGCCTGCAAGCACTTGCCACACAGAAGACTCTTCACTGTAAGAAATACACTGCTAAGTCCAGAGCTGACTGAGATGACAGTTCTAAGAATCTCAGTCATCTGCATTCTGCACCCAGACTTATACTTTCATGATATCTGGAGAGCAGGGTGACATTCCCAATCCAGTGAGCCTACAAATTTACAAGTTTCCTCTTCAGCTTATTTCTCCTATAGGAATTATGATGAGTTCAGAGTTTCTACATACTGTTTGTTCAGAGGCTTCTCCAACGTTGTCGTAGTCGAGAATAGCTTTGTACAGTGTATTAAGCAGATGGGATGCTCTTACAACATTTCGAGTGTCAGGTGGTACTTCTGCAACACCAGTGCTAAAAATTTTATGAAGTACCTTCAGCTGTGCTAGACGATGTGACAATTTATCTATGACTATGGAAAGAGTGATTGTTGTGTCTGTGAAACACAAGATACATTCACATATTAAAATGCATGAACATTAATCAACATATCTTGCATGTTCACACCAGATTAAGGTTTTCAAAAACTTCTCTGCTGCAATGAAAAGTCTTTTACCTTTGTGGATAATGCACTTCTCAATTTCAGTAAGTTCTTCTTTGAAACGAATGAAATATTTATAGAGAGCCAGCATGAAAGCTTGATAGGTTCTAAATGGGGCTTCTGCACTTTTCTTGGGAGTGGAAATGATTCCAGGTATTACGTTTTCTGAGCTGTGACCCATCACTTCATCAATGAACTTCTGTAGCCTAAATACAACTTGACCATACGCTGCTATCCGCTCCAGCATTGATCTTAAGGAATTCTAGGAAACAAAGAAAAATTTTGCTGCATTGTTTTCTAATGAAAAGTAACATTATACTATATCTAGTTCTGAATCGAGCCATTGAGTGGATTAAAAAAATGCACACAATGGATTGAGGGCAAACAGGTGGTATTGTTTTAGAAGACTAGAGTTTACAGAACCCAAGTGAAATATAGAAAAAATACACTGGGGGTTAGAAAACCCCCAAATCACAGAAGCATATGTGCTTCTTTAAGAAAAGTGTGCCACTGAGATCTCACAAGATTACACCATGAGGTCTTGGTGGCCATCTGGGGATGTTGCTAGGCAACTCACAACCAATAGTGCCAAGGATCTCAAGCATCCAAGTTAGTGTCACATTGCAGGAGAGAATGTGAAGAGAGATTAAAAATCTTAAAGACAGGAGAAAGGAAAGCTAAACCTGGAGGGGGGAAAGCTAAAAAGGGAAAGCTGAAAATGGGGAATGGGAACAGAAAAGGGTGGGTTAACCTAAAGTATTACCCTCTCCTGTGGGGGAAGCATTACAGACTTGTGGAAAACTAGGAAGTCTCTTCTCTGTTCTAATGCAGTGCACAAGGCTATACCAAGATGATTATTCTCTCTTACAACCAGTCTCTAACAGTTAATGAACCCTCTGACTGAAGGTAGGTCACAAGTTTTATTTATTCCAACTCAGTAAAAAACCTTGTATCCCGGCCAAAAATTATTCGATGTTATCTTTTAAGATTTTTATTTAATCAGTCTAATCACTCTTTAAATGATTAAATATAAAAGAATCACAATGATACAAAAACTACTAGCATATGTCAATGAAATTTAGAAACAGAAGAGCATGCCACCTCTTATCCGATCTACCTTAAATTAAAAAAATAAATTACAGTTTCTAAGATTCTAACCAATGCACTTTTGCACAGATAGGATAGTCTCATGCAACCTTGGCTACCTTACATCAACTTCGTATGATTCTGTTAAACCATCTAATTTGTTACCCTTTGAAGGCATGATGTAGGTACCTCTGAACATCGATTGACACATTCTCAAGAAATATTTGTTTCAAAACTGTGTTCTGCTCATTCCGTGCTCTTTCTAAAATTTAATAAGGGCATAAGGCCATTTATTCATAAATTACCTTTCTCAGGGATGGAACAGTGAACCAAGCTCACACAGCAAGAAACAAATATGTGGTTGCAGAAATTCACAGGCCTGCTTTGTTCAATAGTCTATACCATTATCTACCAGAGTCTGTGACACAGTCATAAGAGTGAGGTATGCAGTTGCTGCCATGTGAAAAAAACAGAAAAGGCAGCTAGGTGGATGGACGGGAGAGGGTGAAGGCACTGCTAGAAGGAGGCAAAGCGGAAAAGCAAGAAGTAGAGGGAATGGAGGAAATAAATATCTACCCAGGGGTCCTAACAGATCTCCCACTTGTCAAATCTAAATTGCATGATGCTTTCATTTCAGGTTTTATGAAGCACATACAATTCCACTTATGTTAATAACACAACACAGGAAACCAAGATATACATCGGTTACCACTTTTGGACACAATCTTTTTTAAAAAACTACTAAAACCTGATACTTTGTGCAGCAAGGGTCATTACTGAATCAGGTTACTTACATGGGTCAAATGGGTTACCATGATATCATTTCTCACAGTAATCTTTCCTTCATTCAACTGAAATATAAAGAGGTTTTTAACACCAGAAAGAAGCCTGTAAAAAAGGACAACACAGACACTTAGAATTTGTCATAGCCAGTACATACCCACTAGGGGGAGGAATATAATCCACAGCAAAACATGGCTCACGCAAGACCCATCGATTTTAACAGGAATACCCCTGGATTGTATTTATGTTATAGGTGACATGATGGGTCACAGATTCAGGTGGGTAGCTGCATTGGTCTGAACAGCAGAACAAAGTTTGAGTCCAATGGCACCTTTAAGACCAACAAAGCTTTATTTAAAGTGTAAGCTTTCGTATGTAAGCACACTTCCTCAGACAAATGGAAACAAAATTTCTTCAAGCCTTACGTACAGGAAGATTGGGGGGGGAGTGGAAGTGTCAGGAAGGACTATTCAAGAGTCAAAATGCATAAGTGAAGCTGAGATTGTATCAAGGCGGCAAGATCAACGAATGGCAGCAAATTAGCACACAAATGCGAGAGCTAACAAACAGATGCGAACGAAACCTGAGTCCAGCAGCACCCCCAAGACCAGATAAGCATGTACCCAGGGTTGAGCTTACCATTGGACTCAAACTTTATTATGATGGCTCACAATTAGTTCATGAAAAACTGGTAAACGCTCCCTTAGATCAGAAACTCTTGAATGTAAAAGGGCATGCCTTAGATAAGTGATATGTGGACTACACTGAGAAGGTGCTTATTATTTCCCCAAGTTATAATAATGTCATTTGTATTACAGAATTAATTTCTTTTTCAACCCAATTCGCATCATGACTGCTTCCATACAGCAATGATTCTTCGTATTGCTTTCACTGCCATACTAGCAACAAAGTTTTCACACCTGGGATTTTTTTCTGCATTTTCCTCAGTCTTCCC